GACGGAGAGAAGAGGAGGGTTAGCATTAATGCTGAATCCTTATGGGGGTGGTCGAGACTTGACTCCTTGGCGGGAGGATCTGTGGAACGCGCATCTCCTGATGGTGACTTGTAATATCCAAGATATCAAGTTCCTGCTGCTCAATGTTTACGGTCCTAGTAACGGATCCCATCGGAGACTGTATTTTAGAGCGTTAAAGTCTATTCTGCTGCCTGAGGAGCGTTCTTAACAGAGGAGAATTGTAGTAGCGTTCCCCTGTGTGCAATACAGTACGGGGGGTATATACACCCTTCGAGTTAAGAATGAAGGAGAATCAGGGATCAGGTCCTAAGTTGAACCTTGTTCACTGCCCTCCCACTTCCCTCTCCTTGTTGATCAAGGCAACAGAGCACACCATCAAACGGTTCGGGGCACAGCATCATACGTAACGATATATCCGATCCGATATACAGCATTCCAGTAGAATCGACCGATGGTACATCTCACTTTCGCATCAGCAGTGGGCACGTAGTGTAGAGACTTTTCGTCCACCAGGGCAATCTGACTACTTGGGGGTTCGTCTACATCTCCAGTCGCCAACCATGCCGATAAAATTGTAAGCAGAGCACAGCATATCCAGTGCCTCTTTTTGCGGAAGCGGCATCCAAAAGCATGATCTTCCACCGGGTATCTGACTTACAATACCACATTACGCGGCTTTCAGACTCAGAGAGGACTGCTTATATCTGGGACTCGTTCAAGAAGACATTGGTGGACAAACGGAGAAGTTTAAAACGGACGTGCAGAGGCCGACTCCAACGTAGCTGCAAACAAAAACTGCGGAGATTGGGACAGCAACTTCAGGAGCTGGATGTTACAGGCGTACCCACGATTGAAAGCACTCGGGAAGAAATTATAGCGAAAATGGATGCGATCACCACCCAGCGACGTGCGTTACGGACCGTCCACCTCACTAAGTGTCATACCAAACACACGAACCGTGATGTTAAAGGTTTTTTTAAAGAGTCTCGACTAAATTCGGTGATAGCACGATACCCTTTCTAGAAAAGGGTATCGCTGATCAAGACTCCGAACCTGCAGATACCCTGGCAGCAAATTGGAAGCCAATTTTCAACGGAGGTGCAGATGCTGACTGTTCACCAGCGGAACTACGGGACGACATTCGCTCCAAATGACAAGCGGTGATCCTGCAGTGGCTCGATGATGCCATTTCGGACGTAGAAGTTCTAGCCGCTATTAAGAAGCGCAAACGAGGGTCCAGACAAACTAGGAAACTCATTCTACCGAGACTGTCATAAGGAGCTTGTTCCTATCTTAACGGTGCTGTACAACAAGCGGATGTCCAACGGTGTATTCCCGGAATCTTTCAGGGAAGCCTACATCTACAGCATCACCAAGCAACCTCGGGCCACCAACCCATTGAACTACCGACCAATTTCCCTGTTAAACACCGACTACAAGGTACTGATCAAAATATATGCAACTCGAATGAGGAGATGTATCGCCGAGTTGGTGCATCAAACGCAGTTTGGTTTTGTACCTGGTCGAAATATACACACTGCAATTGACTTAGTAGAGACCAGCACAATGATTTCACGGTCTCTGAATCCAGACGGTCAAGCGCAAGTATTGATGCTCGATTTCTCCAAAGCGTACGATTCGGTTGACAGAGAGTTCATGCTAGCCACACTTGCGGCTAAAGGACTCCCTCCGCGCCTGCTCCGTATGATTCGATCTTTGCATACTGGTACAACCGCGACATTCCTGGATAATGGACGCATTTCGTGCCCCATTACGGTTTCGAGTGGCATCAGGCAAGGATGCCCACTTGCCCCATTGCTGTTTATTATTGTGGTGGATGTACTTTATGATATGATTGAGAAATGCGATACCTTCACAGGGGTCCTGTTGGAAGGACAAGACACAAAATTCAAACTTAAGGTGGCCGGCTATGCCGACGACACAGCAAAGGTTTGCACGATACTCCGGGCTTAAGGTCAACATTGACAAATCGATCGTTTTCCCACTCAACACGCATGGTGGTCAACAACACGACTCCGAACAGATATTCCTAGTCCAACCGGAGTGCAGATACCTAGGCCACTGAGTCTCCTAAACTCGAGATATCACCACTGCTTGGACTCAAACGTTCAAAGCTTTGACTAAACGACTGGGCCTTGCTGTTGCAAAACCAAACTCGGTGATACAGCGTGCAGAACTCGCAAACGCTATTATTTTGCCAAAACTCGACTTTGTGTCCAGGCATTCGTGGCCGAGTCGAGAAATTCTGAAAGAAGCAAGTGCGCGAGTAAGGAATTTTATCTGGAAAAGCTCCTTCGCCAAACCTGTGTCGAAAGTGAGAGGATGGCTTAGTCGCGAGGTGGCAGAGCTGGCGCCAAGTTTAGGGGGATTTGCAATGCCTAACGTCACAACATACCTGCTAGGCAGGAGTGCCAAGGTCTCAGAGACATGGGTGATGACAACGGATTCGATAGTGAGAGTAGTGGGTGATATATTTCGTTCAGCTGAGAACCGTACTCTGATGACACTCGTCCCGACTTGTATGAACCTACCACCATTTCAACTCGGCTCTACCGCTGCCCACAGTGGTGATCAGTGGTTTCTGTACGCCAACAGGATTGATCCGGACAAGTCACTAGATCAGTTGCGTCAAGTAGCGCGTCTCAGTTGTACAGCAGCACATGGTGTCACAACCGAGTGGCGCAATGGGAACTTAATCTGCAATTTGACATCTGTGATGCTAGGATCACTCTAAAAAGTAGACAGGGCGAGCACTTTAAAACATGGAGCGTTCATACTGGACAGCCTTCTCGACATAAGAGTGCACGACATTGCGTGGTTCAGTCGACCAGGAGAACCAGTTACGATACAACAAGCGTTTCGGAGTATTGCCAACAACACAACTCGAGTTAGAGACGTTGCGTTCCCTACGTGGAGTGAACCGGATGTGGTTGCTTGGAAGCCAATTGCCTGTGTATTCCCGATGCCTGGAAAAACAGCCCATCAATTCCGGGAGCTGGTGTTAACCCTCATGTCAGCGTATCCAGGAGTTTTAAAAGAGCCGACTTCACCAGTCACCTTGTTCGTCTCCCACGATAGTGCTGACCAACATCGGTTTGGACTATCGCACTGACCTGGCTCACAGAAAATTCATCAGTGTGGCAAACATGACCCTGAAGTTGTATACATTGGGCCTGATGCAGACATGAATAGAAACGATAGGGGCTCGCATTGGTTGCAGTTACGTAAAACGGTGACTACGACTCACAAATGGATCACTCGTGTTTCACCTTTGTGGGCCGGGAAACGGCGCTGGACTCGGTCTTTTGGTCAATACCGACGTGTCATAGGATGTAAGCGACGAGAACAAGCTATAGCGGCTGTCAAGGAGGCCACCAACGCCTGGATGATGAAGAATTCGGTCATTGGAGATGCTATGGTCACGGTCTCCTGGGAGACAGTTAACCGAATAGTAGGGATTTCGACTTACGAACACCAACACTACTACAGGTTAAAACTTCGCAGGTTGACCAGGTGGAATCAACAGTCACCGTCCCTGGACTGTCTTCATATTGGATGTCATGACACCTCATCTTCGCTATCGCACATCTTCTGGGTCTGTCAATCTGCACAGCAAATGTGGAGTTCTTTCCTAGTTCGTTGGAGGCGTGTTGACGGTGGCGTAGAAATTGGGACACAAGCGGAAATATTCTCGCTGCGACTTGACCTCCCTCCCGAAAATCTTCTCCTGAGAGTGAAGCGATAAGGCAAACACACCGAGATAGCCAATGTCATGCAGGACGAAGTTATGGCGTTAGCAAACACATTCTGGAGTGCCGGAGTAGTAGTGGTGTTGTCCTTGATATGGAGGTATCGTCTGGATTTACTACACCCCGAACCTAGTACAGTAACGTCAATGGAGGAGCAGCTTATGAGGCTGGAGGCCCGCCTACGGAGAGCTTACACATAGGTCGCGCTAGACTTTTCCCTCACAACCCTCTCCTCTGAAAAGTGGAGAGAGGCTCGCATGGTACATGCAAGTTTGCAAGAGTCTCTGCCTTCTACGATAGGCAGCAGGCTAACAGCTGTAAGGAATCCCAAGGTATTTGGTTTCTATCATGGGGCTACCAGAGGAATGCCAACCACAGGTGCCAGTGGATGTGTGATAGTCCCGCTTCGTCATACCGATTCGGCCAGCACGATCATGAGTGCAGACAGTATA